GTCATCCTATGTGTATCTCGGTTATGCTGTCCTATGTCAATCTGGTCCGTCGTCCTTTGTCATTCTCCGTTCTATCGTCAAGGTCACTCTGGCTGTGTCGTCTTACTTCACTCTCAGCTGTGTAGTTCTATGTCACTTTGGCTCTGTCACCCTTCATCCTCCTCGGTTCTGTCATGCCATGTCACTGCCGGTTCTGTCGTCCTATATCACTCTGGGTTCTGTCGTCCTACGTCACTCTCTGTTCTGTTGTGCTATGTCACTGTAGCTTTGTCGTCCTCTCGGTTCAGTCATACCACATGTTGAGAGTTCCCCATGCGGTTGGAACAAAGGGAGTTGGGCCTACATGGGCCTGCACGGTAGTCAACAGCCTGATTTGGGTTAAAGTCACACCAAGCACCGTGAGACGTTAAGTCTCACCTACGTGGGATTCTTGGTCCAAACTCAACACTGGGGTCTCATTGGACGAGGGCCACAGGTACCATGTGCTGCAGCCCTGCAGTCCCTGAGACTATAAAACTCTGCGTCAACTCCAGCTCTGTGCCATCCCACACGATTCGATTCGCATGAAAGGAGGTGTAAAAACAACGTTGCTTTTATCCGCCTTTCTACACCTGCTTTTATGGAGGTGTAGAAACAACCGCTGCCACGGACCGGCCGCGGGCGAACCACGGCCGTGGAGCTCCGTTTCCCTGCGAACGTGTTCGTTGATCTGTAGATCCACTCAGGTTTCTCCAAAAGTTTTCAAAAGCACTGTAGTGTCCTGCCATGCTATGGCGTCCTCAGGTTAGCGTAGCGTAGCTCCAAACACTAAGATGCTCAGTTAAAATGAAACACATTCCCAGCCATAAAATGTGCAACGCTGTCAGCCAGGAACACCGTTCATACAAATCCTTTCCTGGCTGAGTCAGGGCTGCTGTTATAATGTTATAATTTCAACCATATCTTTCATTTTGAACTCTTACTCCAACTAACTTCTGCCAGCTTCCTTAAATTTCACATTAGTCACGCGCTCACCCACTGACCAATCACGGCGCACGTTAATGCAGATGTACTTAGCAGGCTACCTCGGGGCCACTGACATGTCAAAGAATATGCCCAACATGTCAAACTAAAGATCTGATTGGTTGAAGACTATGACAATCAACAATATCGTCCCCATTCACTTAAACTGCAAATGGATGCACTTGTGAGTCTGCAGGCCTGGGCCTCTGTTCTTACCTAGAGACACAGAGGTGAGATCTGATTGGATAAAAGCTCTACTTAAAACAAGCTGCACTGGAAGCAGAGCAACTGAGGAAGACAGTAGCTGTGCAATGAGAGAATAAGATAATGGGAAAAATATTTTTATAAATTACAATACATGTAGTGTATTTATGAAAAATTATTAAATTATAAAATAGCTATAACTTTGTGATTCTGTTTAGGCCAACAGAGAAGACCTTGCAGGCCCTGACGGCCCACCACTGAATAGCTGAATAGCCTGTGCTCGAATTCAAACCTTCAATGTTCACTCTGAATGTGAATAGTACTTTGACTATTGACATTGTGAGTGAATTGTAATTATGAGACTTAGTGTATAGTTTGGTTATTGGTCCCTGTTCTCAGGGTGGCGCCCCGTTATTATTAATAATTGTTAATAATCTTACTGACATTAATAATTCTATTGATGTCAATAATTTAGTTTTTCATTTTTGCTGATAACTCAAATACGCTACTTTTACTTCCCAACAGCACCGATACGACTTTTTTTTTTTTTTGACAAATCAATGGTCGCCAGCTAAAAAAAAAAGAGTAGCCCATTTTTGTCTAACTGAAACCAAGGGCCCATTGTTTCAAAAGCTATTAAGAATTTCAAGTAATTCTGTCAATGTGCCCTACAAGAACACTTGATGAATGGTCCACCTCCTATTTTCCTTTTACATAAAATCCTCTTGTGATACACAGCCTGCCTGGTGCAGGGTTTGGCGAATGTCTTTCACAGAGAGGAAGCAGGATGGTCTCCCCTCTACGTAAAGAAACGGATTAATGTCCAGCATATCGAACTGGAGACAAACATGCTGTCGGTCAATAAAAGCATCTTTGAATCTGACAAAGTTGAATCTGTCATGTTAGATTAAAGGCAAAGGGTTTATGTTTTGAAGCACTGTACAAATGAAGCCTTTGACGCTTCTGTTCTACCTCGTTCTGTGCCTCATACGTGAAGCAGTTGCTCTTCGTTATCTTCACAGCCACCGTTTCCTTTGTGGCTGACTTTACGCACGTGGCGACTTTTCCAAAGACGCCCTCCCTCCATACAAGACACAACCAAGACCTCAGAGGAGGGGGAGAACAGGACGCCTTGGGCGACCTGGGGCTCACCTCCTGAAGAGGAAGAAGAGGATGTGGTCTCTTCCTCTTCAGATGCAGAAAAAACTGAGCTTGGTCTTGGTAATATATACACTGTGATGGAGACATTATTAAGTCACTTTTTGTCCCATGAAATAGAACAATGCAAAAAGAGGGTGAAAACTGGTATATTCAGGATAAGGAAAATAATGGTTTATTTGTACTCTGAAGAATACAACCATGTTCTAGTAGAAACGTGAAACACAAGAATGAACCTGATGATGAGCATGACATGTCTCCTTTAAGTACAGAGCGAAATGCAAGCTCATATTGTCTGTGTGCTAGCGCCCCTGCATTGATTTCACAATAGAATTCTGAGTACGGCATGGTGAAATATCACAGTTAAAGCCTGTGAAGTAAAAATAGTGTAATTTATTGTGAAATATTAAGGTTAAATAATTTACAGTGTAACTTTGCTGGTCCCTTCATGTGTCATCTTGCGCAGTCATCAGGTCAAAATGTGAGTTTGTCCAATACTTTGGTTTACCATCAAATACCATGAAGAGTTAATGACATTCCCCTCAGCCTCAGATGTACTTATTGCTATTTGCTAAATAACAAATGTCAAGATTGGACAAACCTGGACAGCAGATCTGATCCTGCAATGGCTCAACTAAGCTTCATTGAGATTGGCTTGTGTCAGAGTGCATTCAGTTTAAATATGGATTTTAATCATGCCCTCTATGGCTGTATTTTGTCAAAAGTCACAACGCCTATCTCACTCACATTTGGATTTGATCCCGACTGTTTTTGAAGTTTTTGAAGTTTGCAGATGACACTACTGTCATCGGCCGGATTACAAACAACAATGATACTTCATATAGAGAGGAAATCAACAACCTTCAGAGTGTTGCTCAGAGAACAGCCTACTGCTCAGCATCACTAAAACCAAAGAACTGATTGTTGATTTTAGAAAAAAGGAGGCGAAGACCCACATCCCTGTCTACATCAATACATCACAAACAACCTGACATGGTCCTCACTCATCTCCATCCTGGTGAAGAAAGCTCATGAACATCTGAAATTCTTAAGGGAACGAGAAGGCAAAACTCCCGTTCGCGTTACCAAGTTCTTGTCAACAAAGGAGCAATAGAAAGCATCCTGACGGCAGACATTACAAACTGGCATGGGATGTGCACGGCACAGGATAGAAGGGCTCTACAGTGGGTGATTAAAACCACTCAGAACATCCCTGGTACCCATCTACTGAGCATCAGTGTTATTGGTGAGAAGAGGAGCCTGTGAAGAGCTCACCCAGCCACAACCTGTTCACCTGCTGCCGTCTTGAAAGAGATGCAGAAGTATCAGCTGCAGAACCACCAGACTTCAAAACAGCTTCTTTCCTCTGGCTGTGAGACTCCAGAACTCATTGTCCACTCTCCATACAATATTGTTTTTTTGCGTTCTATTTCCTATGTAGCAAATTGGGACTACAATCTACATTTTGTTGTGCAACCCTGTCGAACAATGACAAATAAAAACCTTGTAACCTTGTCAAATTCTTAATGTGAGCTTTAGCACTTTGTATCTGATTTTGGAGACTCAATAAATCTTTTTAATGCAGTGAACGGTGTCATCTAATAAAGAATGGTTTACATTCTTTTAAACAGAATCAAAACCTGCAATCACTCTCAAAAGGGTTGACAGCCCTTAAATACACTAAGAGACAAGTAATGTAAATAGTTAATGTTTCATAATGCTGTAAATGTTAGCATCAGTAATATTTGTAAACATGGGAAGGCTTGCATTTTCAAATATGATGAGAGCATTTTTTTATTTTCACATCTACAGCCAAATGCTTCAGTAACACTATTAATATTATTATTTGTGATTATTTGTCATTGATTGGGTCTGGTGAGGTCTGATCCTGCTGTAAACCAAAGATGTAGGATTTGTTGGTTCAATAAATTGCATCTATTAACTAATAAAAAAAATACACACAACCAGCTTGAACAACAGAACTTGGTGGTTTTGGTTGGTGCTCCACTTCACTCTCATGAAACTTTAATCACCTCTGGTTGCTGTGACGATTCAATCTTGATAAAAATTGGTATTTTTAAAGGACAGTATAAAAATAAAAAAAACATATGTTTTTGATGCTGCAGCTCGGGCGTGGACTAAACATTAGAAGTGAACAGAACACAGAACGTAAAAATCGTCTCGCTTATCTATAATTCAGATCAGGGGGAGCGGCGTGAAGCACGGTAAGACGTGTGCACCCTCTGCACCCAAAGGACACAGAATTTGCAGCAGGAAGAATCGCATGCAGGTGCCCTTAAAGAGGGAGCGTGAACGGTGATCCGAATCAGTCGGCTGCACCATGGACCATGTGTGCATGCATCCTCCCTTCGCTCCCATTCAGCGGCTTTAAAAACGACTCCCCCCTCCCCCTCCCCAAATCCTGCTCCCGCTCTGAGTGCAGTCATTTCTAGTGCAGAGAAATGTCCCTGGTGACACTGAGGGATGACGCAGGCTCTCTCTTCCTTTCTCTCTTCCACTACACCCCCCACCCCCTTCTCACCAACACCATCTTTTCCCTCTTTTCACTTGCTCTCTCCTTCTTCTTCTGCTTCTTTTTTTTTTTTTGCTCTGGCGCTCCCCCTTTCTCCATTTCCTCTCACTCTCCCCCTCCTCCTCCTCTCTCCCTTCATTCCTTCTCGCTCTCTCTCCCTCTCTCTCTACTCCGGCACTGCAGTGCTGATTGTGATTGCACACACACACATACACTCACGCAAGCACACACGCGCAAGCACACACACACACACACACACACACACACAGGAGCTGAGAGGCAAGGACTGCAGCAGCATGCACCAACCGCGGCTGAGCTGTTCGGGGACACAAGGAAGGGGGAACTGAGGAGAGGAAATAGTGTGCTATCTCACACCAGCCTACGTGGGCATCTTTGCAGCGGCTGGGAGCGATGAATTTCAAGAGCGGATAGCTTATGTTATCCGGCCTTCCCCCCTGCACTGCCTCTGCATCCCGTTCACCCTGCTCCTCCCACTCCAAGTCTTCCTCCTCCTCCTGTCTACAGCATCATTACACCGGACTACAGATTGACCGGGACTGGTCGAGCGGCGGACGGTCAGGTTTGCCCCGGCTGGAAGACACCTCTGTGGCTAAGCTAGATCTACACCTCCACTGGATTGTAATCGACATCCGGAGCTGGAAGACGAACCGCAAGCCGAAAGGAGCCTCGGATGTGTTGTGTCATTTCTTTTACCAGCATTGTCATTTGGCGCATTTGCTCTATTTGGCTGCTTGTTTTTTGCCTTCTCTGAGACTGGCTAGCAGGCACTGCAGCATCAGGACCGCAAGACCCATGAAACAGTAGGGCATGAGGACCCAGGGGCGACCCAAAGGAAGGGCTTGAGTGCTTCCATTGCTACCACTGCTGCTGAGGTGCTTATCTTGATTTTTTTTTTCCTCCAGAAAAGGGTGTCTGGTGGGGGTTGGGGTGAGTGGTACAGGTACCCAGGCCCCTGCAGAGGAGAGCAGAGCAGAGCGGCTGGCTCTTGCATAGAGGAGGCAGACAGGACGTCCTGTGGGAAAGAGGGGGGAGAAGAAGGGCCGGCTCGAGCGTTGGGCTCCTGATGGTGGCTATTTTTGTCTCCCCTAGCTGAGTGATTGGGACAGCGGGTGGAAGAGAAGATGCTTATGGCCCGAGACACGGCGCGGGACGAGGCTCAAAAGCTACACAGGAAGTGGCTGAAGCACCAGGCCTTTATGGCAGAACTGGCCCGCAATAAGGAATGGCTTGCCAAGATCGAGCAGGTGAGTGGAGGTGACCAGGGCATGATGATGATGGAGGGAGGGAGGGATGGAGAGGGAGGTCGGACGGGCCGGAGCAGGTGAGAGCATGACATGAGTGACAGTGGGTGTGGTGGCACTGGAGTGGTAATAGGTGAGAGTGTGAGAGATGTCATCACTCAGCTTTTCATTTCATCACTTTGCTCGGGGACATTCTGAATTACGTTCTCAAGGTTAAGTCGCCATGGTGGCGGTGTTGTTCCGGTTCACAGGTGGTACACCCCCCGTGGTTCTCTGGTGTCTCTGCCCAGAGGTGAGATCACCTGGATTTCACGGCTCCGTTATGGAGGTTACAGTGAATCACACAGAGGACACTTAAAGCTCTGCAGTAATGGAGGCCAAACATACAGAGGATACAGGTTCCTTTCATGTCCAAGTATATACAAAAGTCTGTTAGGAACACATATACATAGTCAGCTCGCATCATCAACACATTTTCAGGTTTGCCTTTTTTTTTTGGGCCCCACATTCCAATCATGCTTTGCTCCCCTGACAGAGCAACCGTCCCATCCACACAGAATGTTCTCCATGCCCTCTGCCTCGGTGAAGCTCAGCTGGGCTCTTTATTAGTTTGATGATCGGCTCTGTCTCACGTAAAGCTCCTGCTGCTGAGGAGGACATGTGGTCCAACAGACCACAAGATCCAAGTGGGTTTAGCCTTAGTGGACATGTTTGCATAAGTCAATACTATATCATATTATCATGTAGGAATGTGCATCGTTTATCACGGTGTAACCTCCTTTGATGTTTTTAAACAATGGAAACAGAATCGCTGACTTTAGAGATGTTTATAATTGATTCAGATTGATGACATCTTTGGGATTTGGTTAAACCAGGAAGTGCTTCAGTGTAAAGTGAGTGCGGTTTTTGAATATTGGATATTCAATTCACTAATCTAGAAGCGAATGAGTTACTGCTGTCTGTCCTCTGCCTGCACCAGTGACACGGTGTGACAGAAATACATGACATGTGGCTGCTGGACACATGTTTAAAAGAAAAATGCTGAATAATGCGATAGTGCTGGTGAGGTTTATCGGACTGTGACCTTGCTAAAATGTATTTACATCTCTGATAACATCCTGAGAGGTTTTGTTGACATTTCCAACCGTTTTAATTATTAATTCTTTATTGAATACATTAAGATATTCATTAGACTGTATAGATTTTTACACATTCATGTTTTCATAGTATATACGGCTATTATTAAATATTCATACGATAGCGGTGTAACAAATTTCAACCATGGCCCATGAAGATGAGGCCTACTGCTGCATGTGACAGCTAATGAGGAAGTCCTCATTAGCTGTCACTAAGTTCATCACAGTCTAGACCCTCCCAACTGGGCTGGCAGACACCTCCTCTTGGTTCAGTCACGATGCAATAGAGAGGAAAGATTCCTTGTGCATACCGCTCAATGTGTGCAGATGGGTTAGTGCTTTTAGTAGATGACTCTTTCTTTATTTTGTCTTTGCTACAGACTGTTCCCAGGTTTAGAGTCTGTGCAGCCATATCCATACGTGTTCTCAACAGTGTTACGTCCTGTGGCTTAGTAGTTCAGGATATTCTGTTTGGGATATTACGACATTACAGTTGTTTTTATTCACAGTCGGCACACGAGGTGTTATTTTTACAACGTCAAAAGTAAAGAGACTCGTAGGCCTATGTGGGAAAGTTAATAATCAAATGTAGCAACATTGCTCAAATGGAACTATAAAAGATGTAATGTCGTCAAACAGAAACATGTTTGGAGCTCACTATGAGTGATACTCCGTGTGACATTAATGCCATAATAACTCTAATGTTAGCATTCACTGTGAATTAAAAAAATACAGGCTACAAGACTCTGGATGGAACTCGTTACCTGAACGTGGTTTGCCAGATCTATTTTTACACTTACGTTTTCTGTTTCGGTTTTTCCAGCACTGAAACGATTAGTCAATTTAAGGATTAGTCAATTGATAGAAAATGAAGCTGCAACTGTTTGATCACGGATTAATCGTGTTTCGCGTGCAAAAGTCCGACCATTCTCTGGTTCCAGCGGCTTTTCAAATGCTGCTTCTGTTTTATAGCATTGTAAACTAAACAGCTTTGGGTTCGAGGAAAAGAAACCAATCATTTGAAGCTGTAGGATTCAGGCTTTAGGGAATGGTGACAGCCTTTTATCCCTCATTTTTGACATTTTATAGACCAAGCAATTTATAGAAATATATAATTATATAAACAGATAATCAAATGGTGGAACAATGACATTTGCATGTATGTATAAAGCCGACTTAGTGGCACCGCTGTTAACATCCTCATCATATGCCTGTTATTATCTTAATCACTGGTGAAATAGAATGAAATGATTCATTCAACAGAAGCTGGACTCGAGTTGAGGACACTTGAGTTGGTGTCTGCTCAGCACACATGATTTTATTATCACAGATAACTATAATATACACTATACAGTATATGTGACTGGGTTTGAAATTTCTTCATTTAATTAAATTGACAGCTATATTCTGTTACCTGCTCCTGATGTTCAATAGTGCAGTTTATATGCAGGAGTCAAACTTGCATTCTCTCTACTGACCATCAGGGGGCGACTCCTCTGGTTGTATAGAAGTCTATGAGAAAATGACTCTACTTCTCTCTTGATTTATTACCTTTATATTTATAACATTGTAAACATGAGTTTATGGTCTCAATCTCTAGTTTCAAGTCTTCTTCAATACAGCATGATGTTCATTTAGTAAATGATGGTCCATTTAGAGTCAGACCATAAAGCAGGGGATGCTTTAGGGCGGGGCTATACAGTGATTGACAGGTCTCCACCCTACCAGAGCCGTAAACTGCGTCTCTACATCACTCCTCCACAGTCCAAATATGGTCACTTACGTTTACTGGTTGCGAAAAGTCAAGATGGCAACGACCGTAATCCAAGATGGCGTCGGTCAAAACTCGAGGCTTCAAACTGCATGTACACTAACCAGTGGGTGACACCACGATGACTAATGCCACTTCTTACATACAGTCTATCGTTATATGGTATGCATCTTAAACCACAAGGGCACCATGACAACTTCTAACCAATAACCAGTTGCCTTTGATATACATATGTTCACAATATTTTTCCATAATAATAAAACGTTATCATGCCTATAAGAGACTCTGATCAGAGAGACACAGAGAGCTCCTCTAACTAGAACGACGTCTCAGCTTGAAATGAAAATGAAGTGAAACAGGATACTGCTTTATTTCTGAATCATCAGCGTATTTGAATAACCTTTAACTCCAAATACTAGATAAAACCAAAAGATTGACAGAAGACGACCGCTCCACAGAGGTTGTCTCTAACGTGCTGACCAACACAATTTCCCATAGTTCCTGTGTATGTAGTCACGTACAGACGGTACCAGAGACACTCATGTCTCCGCCACCCTGCTAGCATCCCATAATCTACCCCCATGTCTTTCTCTATCTCTGTCTGTCCGTTGTTTCCTGAGAGATGGAGAGAAAATATGACGCCGCGAGCTGCCATGATCGGAGAACTCCGCGTCCTTTTTTTGGAAGGGTTCCCGCCTCCGCCCCTCACCTCTGTTCTCTCAGTACTTACTCAGCACATGAAGCCAGGAGCGCACAGCTCCGGGCCGACTCATGTGTGCGTGCGTTTGTGTGTGTGTGTGTGTGTATGTGTGTGTGTGTGTGTGTGTGTGTGTGGAGGATCTGTGGGTGCTTCTCTGTTACAGTGAGAGGACTCACGGCCGACCTTGTGCCGAGCCTTAGCGTGGGCTCAGGGGTCAACGCACAGACAACCCATGGGCCTGTCCGCCTGGAGCACAGGGATCAGTGACTGACTGATAAACACTGCACCTCTTACATACACATGCCGAAATGTTAGGGGCAGCTTAATATTTAGTTGCTGCCCCTTTGAAAGTTTGAAATAAAATAAAAAACCTCACCCTCCTTTATATGTGACTGGAGACAGAGAAGGTATGATGGCGTCTCCTTAAGACATATACATTCAGCATATATTTCAATGTATGCTTGAATTATCTATATTCTTATTCTTATGATCAAATAATAAATCCCAGAGAGCCCAAACTAAGAATGCATCACTGAGAACTTTTGCAACCCAGGCGGGATAAAACATTGGCATTCTACATTTCTGCAAACGAGCAATACGTTAAATCTGGACGTCCACACGTATCATATCGACATTTCTACATATGTATTTATCAACGTTGTAGTGTTTTGACCTCTCGTGGAGCTTTTGAAGCTGCAGTCTTAATTACGTTCAGGTCTAGGGAACAAGACTACTTGGTTAGGTTTAGCAAAAGAGCATGTTTTGGGTTAAAATTAAGTATTAAGTAAATTTTGGTTTTACACAGGACACGAATACCAGTCTTCTGGATGAGAGTCCCGTGTTTCACCAATCTTTCCTCCCTAAGCAGACTTAAGCAGACTTTATTTTAACATATCAACATATCCTTATACAACGGTTCCTATGATATCTTACAAAAAGTTACTCTTCATTTTTTATACCTTTTCCTGTGAAAGCCAGCAACACCTGTGTTTTTTCATTCTTTTCAAAATAAACTTCCCCCTGCACAGGAAGCAACAAACCTACTTAGTTAGATTAAGGTAAAGATCATTGTTTGGGATCAAATAACAATGGAAGTACGAGTACGCAAGTTACGTGACAGATAAATCAACTGTGACATCACGTTTCACATGTCTTGGCTGAAAGAAAGCTGTTTGTTGGACCCATCAACCCACCTGCCCTGTGTGGGCTTTTATACTTCTTCGCTCATAATTACGTGGATAACATACTTAATCATTTTGTGGGATATCTAGGAATTACTGCACATTATTTTTTGTAGTTATAACGATGAATAAGAACTACCTGAACATATTAGTAGGTATCAGCAAGAAAATATAGTGCAAGTAATAAAATGAATGAATGGCTGAATTCCCTTTAGCTGCTTCAGCTTCAGGGTCCAGGTATTGTGCAAGCTGTCTTGCTGTCATAACTTATTAGGACTGTTATTAGTAACAAATGCTTTTCTTGCCATGCCGAGTCACAATGTAAAATTAGCTTGGACAGACCACAAACCTGTTGTGCTATGACTGTGGAGTGATTTTAGGGTTCATTAGGCATTATTTCAAAAAAAAAAAGTTCAATAAAAGTGCTTTTTTTCAGGCAAAACTGAAACTTTTCAATTTGAGCTGTGTGCCATCTTCATTCACTATTAACCAGTAACATATACACAATATTTACACATGTGAACAAGTCTCTCACAAGTTTTACATGTATTATACCATCAAAATTATTAAAATAGACCTTGTAGTTTCAGATCTACACTCTAAAAGGTATGGGTATGCTATTTTTCAGCAGAGGCCTATAAATAGGGCTAGGGCTATAGAGTTAATAGTAACCATTATTATCTCTCTGTCGACCTACAACTGAACAAACATCAACATTTTTAACTTTTTTAGTGTTATACCTGTACAATCTCTGAGTTATGAACCCAGTCCAGTCACTATTACACTGCTATAAAACAGCATTGTGCAAACACTACAGCATGCAACATATTTGCAGTCCACTAGAAATGCAGCTGCAGTTGACATCGTCTCTCCAAAACGCACACTAGTGTTATCAATGTTACACTGGGATTTTATAAATTACTTATGTTATATTTATTGTCTTGATGCTCTTTAAAAGTCTTGTATTTCCAAAAACTCTCTTAATTCAAAACGGTTTAAAATCACTTCAACATCCAACGATACCTTTCAGAGGTTTAAACTTGTAGAATTAAGTAACGGTTTGTCACGTCTTTAATGCAGTATAGATCAACTTATTCCCCCTGCTGTTTTCTGTTGCTTTCCAGATGTTGCCGTTTTTCATAATAAATGTAGTACTTACTTTGGTAGCTTATTGTGCTGCATTCATTATCCTGATATTTTACTTCTGATTTTTTATTAATACTCATCCCTAACCTGCACATCTGTGTATTTTGTTTATTACATCTATCCTGCTATTTTAATCCATAAAAGAATACACTTTAATTTACTACATACATGACTTATTAGTCATGACAAAATGTTCAAACAACTGCTTTAATGGACAATATGTTTCTGTCTTGATGGCAATGGTACTTTCATATACAACATGCCACTCGTGCATTCACCCTCATTAGCATATGGATTTTAGAAATAGTGGATTTTTTAGTGTATGCCACATCTGAAGGTTTGTATCAAGCGGGAATAATCTAGAATTGTAAATAATGGCACATCCACTCAAAGTTTGACAGTTTGCCGGTTGGACATCGGCGTAGTTGTCAGTGTTGCATTGTGGGTTGGGCAGAAGGGAAGACATGGCATCAAAGAAGGATGCTGCCATCTACATGAAGTGATATTTCCATTATAACTCCTTTCAGTGTTTTGGAGGTAACGGCATACGTTGCATGTTACTTTGATGCATCCAGTGGGTGGGAACACATTGTTGTTTGTGCCAGCAGTATAAAACAAGCCCCATAATCCCACCCACTATTTCACTATGCTGCATCAGCATCACAAGAAAAGCCTGCAGAATTCGGCAACACCACTCCGCTGCGTAATTGCGCGATTCATCCGTGGTAGCCATTCAAATATCGCACTGTGTCAGCCGCGACTGCCTCAAACATTTGCTTTCGCAGATGCCCTTTGGATCTGACTGTGCCCAGGCTGTAGCACACACCCGCAGCCTCATCCCAGCCCCACAAACCTTTGATTCTCTCTCCTTTTGCCTCCCTCCTTCCTGTTTACTCTGCCTTTCTGCTCTCCTCTCTCTCTACACCCCCCCGCCTCCCTCCTGTGTGTCAGTAAAGCCAAGAGAGAGGGAGAGAGATAGAGAGACCTGCTTTCTGCTGGCTCTGCATTATGAGAGGGGGAGCGAGTCTGTGGGAAGATAGGAGTGAGAGCGCGCGAGAGAGAGAGAGATGGATGTGAGCGAGTGAGCGCTAGCAGCAGTTAAGCAGAGAGCCGGTGCCAAGAGGAGGAATGCAGCACTGCATTATGAAAGCCATAGGATATAGGTCCAGCTCCCGCAGAAAAAAGATGAAGGAGGGGAAGCAGAATTTAGAAGATCGAATCCATCATGTCCATGGTTGTTATTACAACACGAGCTGAGTAAATGATGAAAACATCAACCGCGATCGTATGCAATAGAGTAATGTGGAGAAGAAACGCTCGCTTCTTAGAATATGAATCAAATCTGCAGAGATTTTAAGTCACAACGCTGTGAATGCAAGAAAACATTTCCAAAAATCTTGTCAAAATAGCTCCAACTCCCTTAAGGAGACAGGCGATGAAATATGTTTCAGGGGAGAGCTTCATTGACACAAAAGGGAATGTGCCACAAGCTTTGATCTCCCTGCATCTCCTCATCCACATCACGTCATGAACAAAGCCCAAGATTTAGGGGAGGGGAGAGGAGCAGAGGAGCACAGAGCAGGCATTTATTAGACTTACCACGCATGGTTTTTTAGGTCAGCCCGAGGCCAAACGTTGCCCCACACACCTGCCTATGCTTGCATTGGCATGGAGCTGTGTTGTCCCGAGCTATTTTTGGGGACAAAACAGAATTTAGCCACTCTCTTTCAGCGCCATGAAATGTTACTCTCACAGTAACATTTTGCAATAATGTAATCCAAACAAGATCCACAGGTTCATGGTAAAGAATAGCATGTTGTGCTTCTTTTCTTTGAACACCAATTCCCTTTAGAGGCAATCCATCAAAGGATATCAATTACCTAAAATCGTTGGTCGTGTGAATAAAGATGAATTTAGAATGAACACATTTTGATTTCAGAAATAGATTTTCTTTGAGCTTGAAATCTAAAATGGTGAACAGATATGTGCAGTGCAGTGCTGTTCAATGATTTGTGGTAGCAAGAGTAGCAGCAATCATCTCAGCTTATATAGGAAGCAAAAGCTGACATCAAAGGAGCGTACGAGTCACTCAGCCAAGAAGAGACAGTCCAACACAAAATGTTTTTTTTAAATCGGATAGCTTTAACACCTGGGAAAACACATATTGACTTAAATTGATGTCATGGTTTTGGTCAGCGTTTAACAATTGGTCCATAACAGTCATCACTTCCTGTGTCCAGGAGGGTCAGGAGCTGATCCAGGAGAAGCCAGAGCTGCGTCCCGTAGTTCAGCAGAAACTGGAGGAGATCAGAGAGTGCTGGTCCGACCTGGAGAGCACGACCAAGGCCAAGGCCCGCCAGCTCTTCGAAAACAACAAGCCCGAGCCGGCAATGAAGAGCTACTCGGACCTGGACAACCAGCTCTCCCACCTGGAGCAGCAGCCCCCCCAGCTGGAGCAGGTGCACCATCTGCCCACCTTCAACGAGCAGCTCCAGAAATTCCAGGCAAGTCTCGGAGCTCTCGCTGGCACCATCTCTTACGCTAAGTGTCACCGAAACCCAAATGATTCTTTCACGTGTGAAACACTTTCACTTGTAAACCGGAGCTGCTCTCCAGCCACGAATGATTTATGTTGCCGGTTACCATCAGTTGGTCATCCCCAGCTTATGTAGGCTACTGCCCGGCACATTTTCATATTTGTACTAAAATGTCTACAAATGTATTTCACTGTGCACATAGTATGAGAATGTGACAGGTAAAACCATAACATCTGGAATCTTAAACCTCAGTGGGAAACAGTTTTGTAATGACATGGAAATACTCAATACCTCAAGAACTAGGTACAGTAGTTTTATTCTACTTCTCATTCCACTGGGCCTGACTTAAAATAATAAAAACAACAACCAGGCCTTGGTTCATACATGTGTCATGCAACTTATCTTATCTCCACAGCACCTTCGCCCATGAGAAACGTTGTATAACTAAAACTCTCTAATCTGCCTTGATGTGGCTAATGCTTTTGACAGACTGCGTACTTCAGCTCGCTGTTGTTTATGTCATTTTCCCCGGCTCCGACATGCGTCCACCCAGGCCGCGGTTGTGGCGTGTTCTTAAACACGAGTTTCGGTGGCATGCAAAAATGCACCGCATGCTTTTTTTCTTCTTTTTTTCTCAAAGTGAGACAGTCAGTTATGTAACCCTAAACTGTTCCGATAGGAAAATAACTGATGTGCAGAGTTTGTCAGTCCGTCATGTGGCTGTAACATGACCGCCCCCCTTCCCCTCCGGTACAGGCTATGGAGTCTCAGATTGGGGACTTTTACAAGGATGTGGGAGACCTGGGTAGTTTGCAGGGGGTCTGCCTACCCCAGCGAGGGCTGATGGCAGGTGACAGGGAGGGCGGCGAGCAGTCGGGCATGGTGGAGACCCGCATCGTCCGCCTCATTGAGCCGCTGAAGGAGAGACGCCGCATTCTGCTGGCTTCCAAAGAGATGCACCAGGTCGCCCAGGACCTGGAGGACGAGATAGTGAGTGCAGACTTCTTTTCTCTGTTCCCTATCCTTTTCCTTTTCCATGTACACCGTTTTTTATTCCCTTTTGAACATCCGTCAGTACATGGTATGATGGTGCATGTTAAGGAATCAGACTGTTAAAGAACGAATGTCTGTGGCAATGCATCAGTGCCGTGGCTTCCATGTTTGATTCTGAGAAATGTAATGACCTGATTGTGGTTACTTGATAGCTGTGGATTCAGGAGAGGCTTCCCCTGGCCTCCTGTAAGGATTATGGGACTAACCTTCAGAGTGTTCAGCAGCATGTAAAAAAGAACCAGGTAAGTGTCAACGACGACGATTTTTGGTGGGCTGAAATGTGACCCAACCACGCTCAGTCTGGGAACTCACCTCTGATTGGTCCTTCAGACACTCCAGAGGGAGCTGACAGGGCGGCGGGCTCGCGTGGAGGAGGTTCTGGACCGCGCAGGGATCATCGCTTCGCTGAGGACTCCCGAGGTGGAGTTTGTGCGCGAAGGGGCCGGGCACGTGCGCCAGCTGTGGGAGGTTTTGCAGCTGGAGACGGAGCGCCGGTGCATGATGCTGGATGCCACGCTGCAGGCTCAGCAGTACTATAGCGAGGCGGCTAAAGTGGAGTCCTGGCTGTCAGGTCAGAAGCTCCATCTGGTCAACGAAGAGAGAGGCACGGTACGGGCAGGGCTGTCGCTAACACTGTTTTTTTTTTTTTCTTGGCACGAATGTGAAAGTGAATGGTGACGTCGTTCTGATCATCGTTTTCAGGACGAGGTGAGCACCCTGCAGCTGCTGAAGGCCCACCTGGCTCTGGAGCAAACGGTGGAAACATACGCAGAGACAGTAGGCATGCTATCCCAGCAGTGCCAGCGTCTACTGGAACTTGGACACCCAGAAAGGTGTGGCTCACGTGCACCCACAAAGCAGCACATACTGTATGGCCCAAAGAAAGAGTAAAGCTTGATCTTTGCATGTTCCATGTGCCATGTAGGATAACACAATTGCGACATTGTCAATGCTCGTTTGCTGGCAGCTGTAACGTTTCGTTTTCCCCTCTATTTTCAACAGTGTGCAGCTCACCAAGCAGCAGTCGCACATAGACCGGCTGTATGTGTCTCTGAAGGACATGGTGGAGCACAGGAAGACCAAGCTGGAACAGCAGTACTGGCTCTATCAGCTCAACAAGGACGTGGAGGAGTTAGAGAAGTGGATCACTGAGCGAGAGACGGTGGCCAGTTCCACTGAGCTGGGCCACGACCTCGAGGACGTCACGGTCAGTTCATCAGTACGGTTTTGGGTGAAACAAATACTTTAACTTAAATTTTCACAAAAAAGTGAAAGCGAGAGTGAAAGCGGTAATAGAAAACACAGTGAAAATAGTCATATCAAGTTAGGAGCTGTTATTGAAAGGTGGTGAATATTCATATACCTCTTGCATTTATTGTTCTATAAAAAAGTTGAAAGCTTGTAATAAAACCTACAATTTAACATCTTCCCTATATATATATATATATATATATACACACATATATATACATACATACACGCCCTATATTTTGTTTCTCCTATTTAAAGATAAACCAAAAGAAAAGAAAGCAACATTCAATATTAAATTTAATTTAAGCCCTGTTATCTTCTGATCTGATTTAATTTTGAGATTATAATTTGATTTTAATGAAACCAAACACAGTTTCCTCGTGATCACAATATAAATGTCTTTGGCAAATATTCCACGAGCCAATAAGGAAAAATGCAATGGGATAAAGTAAGTAGGCCTGCACTTAATGTTTCCATTATGATCACAATCCTGCTTTGGAGGCAGACCCTTAAATAAAAATATACAATGACAACCCCCCCCCTCCCCCCAAACATTGTAAAATGTACACTGTAAACATGCTCGTCCATTACACCTTCTTGACACTCATATTTTGGCCATAACAAAGCCATTTTCAATGATGGCAATGTAACTAGCTTGCAATACAAGCAAAGAGAACAAGGTTGTTTCTGAATGGCATTGCACCCCACAGGTACCAAAGCTGAAGAAAAACTAGTAGTTCTTCCTTGTCTCCAACGATGTCACTGTTTCGTCACTGGATACCGGAAGAACAACAGATTTTGCAGCTGCGCCCCAGAGACACAGAGAATATTGGCAAGAACTGCAACAATTTAAAAAATCAGATAGAGATAAGTCAGATAACGTTGAAAATCTGCAATTTTTCCCTTTAATAAAACCATGTGATGAATGAATCACTGCTAACCGTGAGGGGTCCTTGAGCATACAGTCATAAGTGAGCACCAAAAATATTAGGTTGAAGCAGTATGTGAGATTAGCTGTGGATAGACACCGAGAAACACACTCACGCATGCACACACACACACACAACCAAATACCTTCTCTGCTGGTGCAGATCATAATAATAATAATAATAATAATAGTAATATGAGCCTTACAAAGCTAGTATTTATTGCAATGAATTGCATTTTGCACAGTATCACCTAGCTCATGTTATTGTGTGCAGTCTCTGTAGTGTTGTGTGCCTCACGTGTGTTCCAGGTGCTTCAGGAGAGATTCACCAAGTTTGCCTCAGAAACCAACAGTGTTGGTCAGCGGCGCATGGAGCAGGTGAACAAAATGGTGAACGAGATGATCGACTGCGGGCATTCGGACGCAGCCACCATTGCCGAGTGGAAGGACGGGCTGAACGAGTCGTGGGCTGACCTCCTGGAGCTGATGGAGACCCGCAGGCAGATGCTGGCGGCGTCGCACCAGCTGCACAAGTTCTTCACCGACTGCAAAGAGGTACAGTCAAAGCAAACACCCGCCTGTGATCAAGGTGTGCCGCGGATCTATTTGAAAAGGTAGACAGTCTGGCCGTGACACGCGGCTTCTATTTTTAAAGCTGCTCGTGATAACGACGCTGTCCTGTGTTGTAGGTCTTGGCTCAGATCGCGGGGAAGATGAAGCAGCTGCCAGAGGTGAGGGCGTGCCAAGCCAACATCACCAATCCGGCCACCCTGCAGAGACTCATGCACTCGTTTGAGCATGCCCTTCAACTGCTCGTCGCACAGGCAAGTGATCTGATTTCTTTCTGAACCCATTATGCACCCTGTGTAGGCCTACTTCCTGCTCATGGGCACAATGTGAGGGCATATAGATTTCACCAAACTTATTTTTGAGACACAACTCCACATCCAAGGACTAACCAATGTATTTTCTACAAACACACCCATTCGTCAATCTGACTATATTCTACTGTGATGAAGCCACTAACTGCCTTCATCTCATCTTGGTGCAGGTGAGGCAACTGCAGGAGAACGCGGCCCAGTTGAGGACCATCTATGCTGGTGAGAAGGCCGAGGCCATCATGGTCAAAGAGATAGAGGTGATGGAGGCCTGGAAGGAGCTGCTGGGCTCTTGCGAGGCCAGTCGCGTCCAGGTCACCTCAGTAACGGACAAGGTGCAGTTCTTCTCAGTGGTGCGTGAAAACCTGATGTGGATGGAAGGCATTATGGGCCAGATCGGATGGGATGAGCCCAGGTAAGATATCTGCTGTTCACCTACTTGAGATGTGGTTAAAACCATTGTATACCATTATGTGGTCCAGTTTTAGATGCGTTTTGTGGTTCCGATTTTAAAAGTCTCTGTGGTCTTGTGCAGTCCCTGTAGGCACAATTTAATTACAGTGTAGTGTCGCATTAGGCTGCTGTTCCACCTTGACCTACTTTCACATGACATCTGTTATTCACTTTTCCATATGATGAATTTGGAGGCTACACATTTTACATTGTGAGTCAGTATTTGTGATTTTACCCAACCAGTGCCACTGTGGAATAAGCTCACAGCACATCCACTTGGCTTTGAAATCGTTGCATTTTTACTGATCCTGTACGTCACTGGGAGAAAATTCCATGCATACCGCTAACATCTTACACTCTGCAGGTATAAGGAGTCCCTAATAGTATTTATTGCTTCATTTAATCTGAATAATCTGATCTATCCCTCCTCAGGGATTTGACGGCTCTAGAGGTGATGATGAAACAACATCAGGAGCTGAAAGCCAAAGTAGACGGCCGCAGCAAGACCATACAGCAGTGTGCAGATCTGGGCAAGATCCTAATAGCTGCCGGCAACCATGCATCAGAGGAGGTCAGGCTAACAAAACAGTGCAACACATTTGAATGACTATCACACATTCCACAAAAGAATACCCGTACAATTACTAGATTAAGATGTAGCAATATGTTGTTGTGCTCATGACTGCAATCTGTCTGTCACCGCAGATACAAGAGAAGCTGGACAGTCTTCTGGCTAAGCAGAGGGATCTTGTTGAAAAATGGGACAAACACCAGGAGAAGTTACAGCGCAGTGAGTAACTCACTAGATGACTACATCAGAGCAGAGGCAGCTTTTACCCAATGCTATGTTAAATGTCAAAGGGGCTCAAACTACAAATGCTTTTTTCCACTTTTATCCTTTTATCATGAATCATGTATGAATCTTACAGTTCTTCTCGTTTGCGCTAACATTACACACTCACTCTAAAATAATAGCGGATATACATTTGCTACGATAGAAGGCATGGATACCACCATCATATACACAGGCATGTTAACAACTGATTTCTACTGGGGCGTGCATTGGTGTGATGGTAACTATGCTGTTGGTCTGCTGTCACCACCAGAGCAGGAAAAGTTCCAGTTTGCCCAGGAGACGGTAAGGGCGGAAGCCTGGCTTAAGGCCAAGGAGCCGCTGATCACCTCCAGGGAGCCAGAGGGAGGAGGGGCCCGGGCTCAAACAGACGAGGTTGAGCAACTCATCCTTCGCCACGAGGCCTTCCGCAAGGCTGCTGTAACCTGGAAAGAACGCTTCAGCTCTCTCCGCCAGCTTTCCGCAGTAAGCTTGACTGTAGATAAATGTTTAATCAGTTTTTGGTGGAGTCACAATTTAATGCTGCTACAGGAAAAAAATGTGACCTTGGGATGTGTGTTTGCTTAGCAGGCATGGGCGCAAGCATCGTTTATGGGCCTAAATCTGTCTCATGACGTTAACTGCATGTGGTGTGCTCTCATTCACTGAAACCCCATCTGCCTTTCATGCGACATTGCTTAGTAGCCAAAAAAAAACAGACTGTTTTATAATAAGCAGATCATTCCTGATACCTTGTTGTACCCTCATTTTATTGGACCATTCTTTGTTTTAATTGGATTTATATAGTGCTATTAGTTATTTAGTTAACTCTCTCTTTAGGCTGAAAAGAAAAAAGAGGAGGAGAAAAAGACAACCCCACTCTCCAGCCGAAGGATGTTCCCATTATCATGTCTGACTCCCAGCGTTCCCTCAGCCAGTGCTACCTCATCTTTCTTGAGGCAGACTGTACAGGCGCATATAGAACACAAACCCTTACAGACCAGTCTGGATCTTGGTGCCACCCCTGCAAGCCAGAGATTGTCCTCAACCCTAGCCAGCTACAAGCCAGTTATAAATGGATCAGGCTACCACGGATTGGAACAGCAGAGCAGTGGGAAGTTGGTGAGCTCCTCGTACCTTGGAATGAACCACCAGGCGGTTGGGGGTGGAAGTGACTCCGGTTTCTCAGCGCTGACCTCCCAGAGTGGTGGAGCAGACACTTCTACTTACCTTGGGATAAACAATCGAACTGCTGGCAGTGCAGAGAGTTCTGGGTACTTTGGACTGACAACTGGGAGTGTGGGTAGTACGCAAAACCATCAAGGCAGTGGCAGGTTAGGAAGTTCAAGTAACCTAGCTCAGCAGCCAAGCAGTGGAGGTATGGGAAGCCCTGGCTTTCTGCCTCAACAGAATATGGGCAGTTCTGGGTATTTGGCTCAAACACAAAATATGGGCAGTTCTGGATACTTGGGACATCAGCCTAACTTAGGGAGTACAGGATATTTGGCACAACCGCCTAGTATGGGGAGCTCTGGGTATTTGGCGCAGCAGCAGCCTAATACGGGGAGTTCCGGGTATTTGGCACAACAGCCTAATACGGGGAGTTCCGGGTATTTGGCACAACAGCCTAATACGGGGAGTTCTGGGTATTTAGCACAACCACCTAATATGGTGAGTTCTGGATACCTAGCACAGAATTTTCAGAGCAGTGGGGGATTGGGTAGCTCAGGCTTTCTAGCACAAAATCATTACAGCAGTGGAAGTCTGGGCAGTTCTGGTTACCTGGCGCAGAGTGGTGGCATCATGGACCCTAAGATGGCGTATGCATGGCAGCACCTGAAAGCTGACTTCATGCAGCCCAGAATCAACCACATCCACAAGGCTGTAAACCCCCTCCTAGAGGCCAGCAGAGTGCAGCGGGAACAGTTTGGGGACATCCCAATGGCAGACATGGTGGGGCCAGAGTCAGGGTTGGAGCTCCTCCACGGCCGTCTCCAAAGGGATCCCCGTGGCAGCCGCTCTGATCCTCAGATGGACCATCTGAGGCGAGAGAGGGAGTACAAGCTGGGTAGACAGACTTCCAGCGAACAGGAGATCCAGGCCAGGCTAAACGAGTTGCCGCTGATTGTGCGTCAGGAGCGCTACCGGAGGCGCCTGGAGAGGCAGTCGTCCAGCGAACAGGAGGGGAGCAGCAAGCAGAGGCTACAGAGACAGGACTCGAGTGACCTGGAGGGCTCTGTTAAGGAGGGCTCCGACAAACGCTCAGGGTATGTGAATGAGTTGTACTGGTGACAGTGAAATTCTAATGATCTTTACAAACTTTGGTATTACTGTTTGCCTAGTCAGCACTGTCCTGTGTGATCCTAATTTTATGTAATGAGTTTATAATGATTGTGTCACTGTTTGGGTGACTTATGCCTGTTGTCACTTCAGGGACAAGAGATCTACCATGGCAGAGATTGTAGAGCAGGCCCAGGAGAGAGAGGCAGCACAGGTGAGTTAGCTTACATACAGTATATCTCAACAGTGTTGTGTATGTTCAATTGTTTTTGTGTCTTGGTGTGACATTCTCTTGTTTCTACCTTTTTAGACACGAGGAGAGCCTTATCGCCCTACAAGCAGCCTCTCAGCACCCGTGACTCGTTTTGACGGACGCCCTCGTGCCCGAGACCGTCCCAAACCGAGGAGGAGGCCCCGTCCAAAAGAACCTGAGGAGACACGACGTTCTCGCTCGGCTCCAGCTACTGGTGCCCCAACGACACCTCAACCGCCTTCACACACTGCCCTAAACGAAGGCTTCCTCTACCGCAAAAAGGCCACCCGTTCTGACCTTGAAGCTCAGCAAAGAAGCCCAAACAGGTACAACCGCTACTGATGTAAATGATACAAAATAGCTTACAATTCATCATTCGCCAAAACCCATAGCCTACAAGCCATTGTCCATTAGTAGCTTAGCAACTGCAACTAAACACAACAGCAGGCCTGTTGTCGTCAAGCTTTGGATTTCTCCGCATGCTGATGAAGTGTCCATAGGCACTAACTTGGAGGGTGGTGTCTTTTCAAACCTTTCCAAAGGCACAGGAGTAAAAGTGTAAGGAATGAATAAAACACTGTATTCATCTGCTCTAACATAAGATACCAATGATAACATGTTCAGCTTACTAGTTTACAACCTACAGTAGCAACCAATCTTTACTTCCAAGGCCAAGGGACGCATTATGGACTACCGTACCTCGAGTCATTTGTGGGGTTACATGCCAGAAAAAACCCTAGTCACGATCACTGTGTTGTATTTCTCCACTGTGTGGAAGTTGATCCGGGAAGTTGAGTTTTGGCTAATACTAGCAGCTTTGTCCTGAATTTCGTTAAATTTTTGGAAGTTTAAACTCCAAAATTGTCAGCCAAACACATCGGATAGTCCTCATACTAAAAGCCTTTTTTCTTAAAGATAAATGCAATAACAAACTGTTGGAGAATGTACAAAAGTATACAAGCTTAGCATCCAAACTAGGTTTCCTTATTATACTTGTAATACCTTCGTATTACAAGTATAACTAACTAACTCTCTATATACTGCAACAAAAGAGCAATGCCGTTTCTTTATTTCTATGTCCTCTACGTGGAACCAATCAACTGGTGGGGATGCTGACTATTTCCTGTTAACATGCAGCTTCATGCACAATATCATGTGTGTAGCGATCAAGTGTACCTAAGGCCCATTTTAAAAAGACGATTATTCTAAACAAGCTGGAAATATTATAAAGTCAGCTGGAGACAATGTTCCATAGAGTTAGTTTATACTAATATGCCAATGACAGTTTTAGCGTAAGTAGTTTTAGCCGGCAAAATCATCAGTCGTCTGCTGGAAAGGAGAAGCCTGCTTTTGTGTACCTCTGTCTGAAATCAAGCACCCATTGCTTCTAAAAGTACTGGGAACTTTGGTGGTTAATCTGCCACCGTTATCATTATCAACTGCATATGTGCCATGCAGGAACGGAAAGCTTGACAAACAGTAACTAAGGGGGTTTAAACAATATATTAAATCAAATTAGTTAGATTAGATTTTAAATCTTTAGTTTGTTGTCGTACCTTTATCGTGACTGTGTTGCATGTTTATTTAAGGACAGAATATCCTTATTGTTGTGTGTTGTGTCCATCTTTATTTTAATACGCATTTGTATATCTATGTCCCATTGGCCCATGTGACATGTATTCAATCATAATCTGTTACGGTAGTCTTAATGGGTCATTTTAATTTTACAGCAAGTCCTGGACAAACGTATATTGTGTGCTGAAGGAGGGACAGCTGACCTTCTACAAGGATGCTAGGCACCAGACCACAACATACAATGAGGAGCCCCCTGTAGAACTTAGTAACTGCACGTTTGATCCTTCAATGGGATACAAGAAGAAGAAAAATGTCTTCATTCTTCAGTAAGAGCTTTTCTATTGTGGCAAATTTTAATGGCAGAAATTGTGATTTTAAAATGTGATTTTACTGATTTTCAAGTGTAATGTTGCTTTGCAATAAAATAAGAAATGATAGCGTAGTTCATCCGATTTAAGAGAAAAACATCAAATCGCAGAATATTAAACAAGTGCAATATTATTATTCATTAGAAATGTAAAAGGCATTGCTGTGCATGAGAAACTGACAATCCCTGTTGATTTTCTCTGCAACAGAATGAACGATGGAATCAACTTGGCATTCCACGCAAAAGATGAGGTAAGAACATTCATATTTGAGTCATGCTTACCAAAAGCAGACATCAGGACATAATCCACTTTACTTACTTTAGACATCTACGTGTCACATAAGAGGTCCATGAAAGACTACACCTCTAAATACACCTCTATGTAGTCATCATAGCTAGATATAATACTCCATTGGGCCAGGCTCAACAGACCCATAGCAGGTCCAAACAGCATCAGGGGTGACTACTTTTTAATAATTATTATTAATAGAGTCTGTCAATGTCGGATCATTGAAAAAATGGGTTTCACATAGTTTGATATAGCAGGGAAGATTAGTCCAAACTCAGTCTCCCAGAGGGAACTGGGACAAGATCTCAGTGGGATGGGGACCCTCCGTGCTCTCAAGGCAAGCCCACCACCTGCACAACGTTCCATCTTGAGCGCCCTTCCAGGTCTTCATATTTTTTCGAGAGGGAGCCAACTTGTTTGATTAGCATAGCAACCTTAGCCTGGAGGTTAGCTAGCTGGCCAGCATGGTGATTGGCCGAGTGTTCGAGGCCTGTGACAGTCTCGCCCTGGGTGATCATTGGCGGCTGCAAAGCAGCGGATACTCTCTTTCTTGACGGACTCCGAGATTACCAAGTCAAGTTTAGTGATGATCTCTAAGCGCATTCAGCCCACCATCTCTCTAATGTTTGCCAGCAGGGACTCGTTAGCTGACGACAGCTTGCACCAGCTTTAGCCATGTGGGGTTTTGCTCGACCAGCCAGCCTCATTGTTGCACTTTTTAGCACTAAAATGCAGAAAACGTGATGCAGTGCTCTCTAGGGTGCCCTACATGTTAGAAAGCCTTCTCGATCTTTCTGTAGTTTTGGTCTTTTCATGAGATTTGTGGAAGACAAAAAATATATGAAGAGTAAAAAACCAAATAAGAATAAATGGAGCAGATTTAGAACAAAGTGCAGCAAAATGGACTAAAATAAAAATATATAAACTGAAAGCATTGTGCTCAGTCTTCATATGTTTTGATCATTGCCGTATGCAAATAAATGTCAGACATTGCATCAGTTTGTCTATTTTTAATTTCCTTTCCTTTTGTAGTCCTCTATGGGTTATTCAAATAACAGGATATGAGCAGAATATACAGTATACTGTCAGTACAACAGGAATATACATTTTTTTATTCTTCAGGGAACTATCTCAATGCAATCCCTATGAAATCTGTGGCCTTCTCCTTACTGTACTTATGTGGAGACTTACCAAAGACTTTTATTCATCATGTCCAGCTGAAATTAAACGCCCCCCCCCCCCCCCCCCCTCTCCTTTGACAAGAAAATCACAATCATTTGTTGTTTTCAGGATTTTAGTTTTGCATTAGCAAAATAATTCTGATTATTCCAACTACAAAGATGGAGATGCAATTTTGAAACCGCTAAACAAGTCTTAAGTGAAGCAGTGGGCTTATGTCAGCATTCTAAGAAAGGCGAGCAGACACAACAACAAAGACATAGACCCCGAAATATAGCCCACGTCAGCTTTCCTGCTTAAGTCTCCAACTAGTAGTCGTACTTATTCTGCTTACTACTCTCATTATATGAATCATTTCTGTGATATGCATTGACTGTGTTATAACTCTGTTATGCTGTTCATTCTGTACACATGACATCTATCACACTTCTGTCCATCCTGATAGAGGGATCCCTCCTCTGTTGCTCTCCCACAGGTCTCTCCCTCTTTTCTCCCCGTTAAAGGGTTTTTTGGGGAGTTTTTCCTGTTCTGATGTGAGGGTTCCGGGACAGAGGATGCTGCATGTGTACAGATTGTAAAGCCCTCTGAGGCAAATTCTTTGATTTTGGGCTATACAAAATAAATTGAATTGAGTGGAGTTAAAACACATGAACACCTGTAGTGTCCTGCACCACAGCTTGTTGAAAGAGCCACCACACACCTGGAAAGGTGCACTGCTAACGTCAGTTTGCAGGTTAAGTAGCTAATTAGCTGCTCAGTTGCAGCACATTAAACAGCATGTACACTTACCTGCAAATGTCACTTGTGGCCGGTTAGATGCTGGTGTGGTCTGGTCTCTTCAATGCCACTAACAACACTGTTTGCTCACATCATGTAAGTCAGTTTACTTGTATCTCCTTCTCTAGGGTGCAACAGCATCTGTCTGGCAGCATGCGAGCTGCTTTCAATCAAACACAGACAGGGACACGACCCTCCAATCGGCTGAGACTTATGTTTCTGATATTTCCCCAAAGACCTTATTTTACTCCTTTTAATAATAGAAAACTATTACCGATATCATTTCATAAAATAGATCAATACTTACTAGGGATAACTGAATGTGAATTTAGTTGGATATTAATGCACTTCATTTACTATAAAACTAGTTTTGGAGATATTAACCGAATAGACTCCTGCAAATTCCTTTTCAATGTAACACTTGGCTTCTGGTGTTCAGAGCACAAAAAAGCGCTACCGCTCAGCCATGCGGATGCCATTGATGTTGACATCTTGTGCTGTCACAAGCACGAGCCTGTCGTCCATGAGTGGAGCCACACTTTGATATGTTTTCTTCTCTCTGTTGCAGGTTCAAATTCTGATCTAAAATGATGAAATTATGTAAATCCCAAAACACAATATGAAAAACATGCAAAAAGAGTAAGATTACATAAGAGAGAGACTCCTTATATAAGACGTGTGTCATTTGCTTCGTAGGAGGACCTGAAGGCCTGGACTTCAAACATCACCACCTGTATAGCTGAACACGAGTCCATGGGCAAGTGGGACAAGCCGGGCACCTCGTCCATGGATCCCGACAACTCGGAGAGGAAGGAGAAGTCAGAGGGGGACGCGGACGCCAGGTCAGAGAGGTCCGAGCTGGCCGAAGGGGAGGAGCGGTCCGAGAAGGAGAGGTCAGAGAAAGGGGACGGCTCCGAGAAGTTAGACACGTCAGAAATTGCCGACAAAATGGAGGGCGGGGCGGGGGGCTCCAGCACGTCTGGGAAGAGCAAATGAGGAGCCCCTTTGTGTTTTTAACATTACTCACTGACTAAAGGCGTAGGAGGCGGTGGGTGGGAGGGACGGATGGAGAGCATGTGCAGCTAGGTTTGCAGATCCTCAGTCACAGAGCCGGAACACACCGAGGCCATGGTCCTTGGACTGACTATTGTTACAGTGACAGACTAATCTCTCAGCCCCTTCCCTTCACCCAGGCAATACATCAGTGCTTGCATTGGGCCACCTGCTGGTAGATAGCAGGTCGGCCCAGACAGACAGACAGACAGACAGACAGACTCCAACAAGTGGTCCCAGGAATTAGTCACTATCACGTCCCATCGTTGATCGTTTAATCTCTTGGATTCACAGCATCTTTCTGTATGTATCTTTGACTGATAATATAACGCTCTGTCTAGCTAGACCAACCCGAGAAGCGGTGAATGAAATGTTTCACAATGTCAAAAAAAAAGAAAAAAAGTTTTTTGAAGCAATATACTTTTTTTATTTCTTCTCTTTGTCAAAGAGATAAAAGGGGGAAGAGGAAAGAATGAATAATCGCAAATGTGAACTCTATGATTTGTCACATCCACGTGAGCTTACTCCAGGCAGTTGTGCACCTTAGACACTTGACACATCTGTATACTAATCATACTGACATTTAATCCAGTCACATGGCTAGCTTTGAATCATGTTAATATAACGGAATGCTGGTGTTACCCACCTGACTTCATTGGTGTCAATGAATACACAGTTCTACAGTCTCTTTTTTTTTAATTACAATTTTCATTATTATTATTGTTTGTCCACAACGATCCATGTCAAAAAAAAGAACTTTCCATCAAATTCTAATCCAAGGTGTGTTCAAAGTGGCAATGCTCAAAGTAATACTAAGCCTAATGTGACACAATGCCTTTGTATACATGACAAAAAATCAGAACATTGCATGAAAAAAAGTCTAGTGCACCTGTTGAACTTGCCTCTATTTTTTGTGTTCGTGAAATAGGTTGGGCAGTATTGGAATTGCAATAATTGAATGTGAGCGGGGGCGGGGGGGGCAAATTGTATTTTACTATCACGGTCCACTTCTGAAAATCCAGAGGTAAATTTGACAAAGTCGGGTTGTCTTCTAAACCACAGCGAGCATGAGAAGAAAGGGAAGGTTGGTTTTTCTTTGGACAGGGGTAAACCAGATAAGAGACTACTGTTACATGAATTAAGATGCCAAATGGCCTCTCTGCTGTTTGTACTGTATTACTGCAATTCATTTCCCCCAGAATGTATTGATTTCAGCTGTGAAATGTTCCGTTGCCGCCGCGTTTTGCGGTGCCCCAAAAATTGTAAAAACAACCCCCTGAAGTGGTTCCACTGAGAGTTGAGCCTCTCTGTACCCTTTGTGTTTCATTTGAAGTTCAAACCGATCGGAATCTCTCCATCAAAAGGCAAGTTAAATGTAAAACTGTCATGATTCGAGTCATGAATTGTATATACCTATCTTTGTATGTATACCAATAAATCCTGTGCTCTAATAAAACAATACTCTGAACTGAAATGGGTAAAATTAAAACATTTGTATTAATCCACAAATAAAGAAAACAATCGTCACTCAAATATATGAATGACATTTAAATGAAGAATATGCAAATTAGGAGCCACTATTAAATAGCATAGTGTATATAAGTACACCAGTATCTAGTTGTATCAAACACATTTGACCAGGGAAGAGCAGCAGGACATACTGGAGGTATGCTTGTTGTATTTTTATATGCCTATATTTATTATTGCCCCAATAACAACTTGTAATAATATCTGACTGACTAGCCAGTATGTCTGTGTTACATTTACACATCACAGGCATGAAGAGTTCACCTCGCCTGGGCAGGTCAGTACATGCTGCCATGGAAAGTCTAGTTATTGGTGACTGAACTAAAGTACGGTATGCTGCAATCACAGACGTGAACAGAAATGAATCCGCTTATTGTTTGCCATACATCAGTTATTTTTTAAAGTACAATTAAAGTTGCCAGGAAAATGTAGCCATTTTGACACATTGTACTCAAATGAATGACAAAAGAGGGAATAGTATGCATTAACACATGGGCAGCAGCTGCAACTTTGTTTTCCATTTTCTATCTGATCAAACTGCACCTCAAACGTTAAAAAAAAAGTCTTCCTTTCTATAAAACACCAAAAGAACATCTCAGAAGCAGCAGCATTTGAAGTCACTGACTTGAGGATTGTAGTGACAGTGTGCATTGCTGCAGCTGGACGAGCTATGCTACGGTGTGAATGTTCTTTTCATTTGTTTCTTTATAAGTGCCATGTCATGCCATTTGAAGCAGTGGGTCAGAAGAGAAAACACTTGGTTATTGAAACATGACAGTCATTGCAATACATATTTTTTTTATCATTGACATAGGAGCTGTAGTATTTTCGTGGCTGTAAATGGACATGGCAGATATTTAGCTTGCATCACCACGTGCGGTGTGTTTTTGCTTCCCATAACTTTGAATGAACCCCCCCCCCCCCCACACACACACACACTATGTTATAACAGTGACAGTCCAACTGAAACAGACAGCATATAAACCATGGCTGAAAAAGAAAGCGTGTACGTCGTTGTTACTTCACAACTTGCTGCTATGACATTAACTAAACCTCCAGACCTGCTGATGCAGACTTGATGTGCAGTTGATGTGGATGCCCGCGCTGGTCACAGACACACGCCTAACGGAAACAATTTGTTCCTCAACATGGGTTCCAAAACCTGAGCCGAGTGGTTCTCTGGTCAGTCGCACATTCTTGAGACTAACAATGGACTTTTACTTCAGCTCCCACGTGTCCATGACGGAAAAGACACAACATCATCACGGCAAGGTAGCTGCGCCGTTGATTAGCATTGGCTGTACACGATGGGCCCCACTTACTCTATGCTAAAGCCTTGGTGCTTCCAACCTCGTTATGAAAATGTTTGTTTTTTTAAAAGACACATCAGAGGGTGTGTATGTTCATATAAGTTAGAGCTGAACTAGCCCTCATACTGACTCCACTGCAGGGGAAATCAACTGAAGGGTTGGTATTTCCCCCAAACACGTGTCCATGTCAAGGGCTTATCTAAATGCTTCAGAACCGTCCCGCTTGCTTCTGTACATGCAGTGACTGTTACAACGCAAACATTTTTTATGCTGTATTTACGGCTTTCTTAAAGCGACCGATGTAAAATGCCTAACCTCTTCCGAGCTACGTACGTGCAGTTTGAAATAAAATGTAGAGTGGGCGCGTGAATAATTTAACTGAGTAAGAACACCATAAAGGTTCGTGCTGCTTTTTGTTTTTGCACTAAAGCAAAGCCCCGTGCACGGTGTAAGACAGCGGTGGCGATGCAGGGTCTGCTCTCTGATAAAACATACACGTACACGGTATTGCACAAAATCTGCACAACTTGATGTGTTTTCAGAATGTACATTTGAATCATATGTGTGTGTATATTGAAATTGAGTAACATCTGCCAATATCTGTCTGTGGAAATATGAAATATAGTATTGCCTCATAAAATCTGTTCATCCCTTAATTTTGCCATTGTCTTTTGTCCCCTCAGTAGGTTTGTAGCGTGGCCCGTGATGGACACTTTAGAGTGTTACAGTTATTTTAAGATTAATCTCAAGATGCCTCAGATGAATTGTTGTGATTTAAGTGTCTGATTAATCACAGTTGCAGTATGGATTATATTAATGACTGCTAAACAGTTTTTGACCAAGATAAATGTTGATATATCTTGCCACTGTATTTTAGCATTTTCAATACTGTAGAAAGCCAGACCCAATGGGGTGCTCCAACTATGTAACAATTATACAAAGTACTATGTCATGCAGATTTCCGCAGATCTCCCAAATCTTTTCTGCTGGTTTAAGAAATGTGATGAAAATGCTTTTACTTGTGTCGAAAATGGGACAGAAGTTGCATCTCTCTGTGAAACTTGGGTTGATATGACTGATGGCTCTGAGGCCCAGATTTCTGTCACTGCAGTGACATCATAACCCGTTCACACGGCCCCTTCACCAGATTCTGTAAATATCTGTCAGGTCGAACAGTCACAATTCAACCACCAAGGGAAAACCCCTGAATGTTACCTTGTATAAGAGAAGTCTGAAATTAATATTTAAAAAATCAATCTGAATGTAGGATAATCATAACACACGGTCAAAGCAGTTCTTTTTTTTTTTCAAAACTGATGAAATGATCTGTTGTGTCACACTGCGGAGAAATGTTGAGTATGTCAGGACAACTTCTCGACTACATCCAACCATCACAAAAGTCAGCTACGAGTTAAAGTTACAATGTCGAAGGTCTCTGTTTTGTTCTCTTTGGCGACATCTATGGCGATAAGCCGTAACTCAGGGTGTGTTTTTGGATCTAAACCATAGACTGTGTATAAGAAGTGGACGTAGTCATCGTGACGTCACCCATTGGTTTGTGGACTGCTGTTTTGAAACCTTGATTTTGGCGATTTCGCTGTCGCCATCTTGGATTATGGCCGTCGCCATGTTTTTTTTGCAACCAATGAAGAGAAGTAACCATGTTTGGAATGCAGAGGAGTGTTTTGGTAGTGGCAGCGACCTGTCAATCACAATAAGCCCCGTCCTAAAGCATCCCCTGCTTTATGGTCTGTTTGACTCTAAATGGACCATCATTTACTAAATGAACATCATGCTGTATTGAAGAAGACTTGAAACTAGAGATTGAGACCATAAACTCATGTTTACAATGTTTACTGAGGGAATAAATCAAGAGAGAAGTAGAGTCATTTTCTCATAGACTTCTATACAACCAGAGGAGTCGCCCCCTGATGGTCAGTAGAGAGAATGCAGGTTTTAAGACACCGGCATTGGCTTCACTTGTCAGATCTGGAGGTTGCTGCCAGATCCAAACGGTGTCGCATGTGTGACATTTCTTTGGATTTGCACTTGTTTTTGAAGTTTCGTCATCTGCAGTCATCACTCTTATTTGTTCGCCCATAGCAACCGTTTACCTGCAATGCTAGCAGAGACGGGATAAAACCTTGCAGCACTTCACGCAAAATTCAAATTGAAGAGCTGCACTAGCTCTGCTGGCGGGTGATGGAAAACACGTAAGGAACTGTGCGCCGCTTGTTACCGCTTGCTATCAAATAATAGTCAATAAGGACTTTGATCGTGGTGCTGCCGCAAAGACTGGTGGGATGGCATTATCTCATTTAATTTGGTAAAGGATGATCCAGTGTATCCTATGCTAAAGGAGATTATAAAAAGGAAGCATTGAAGCAACTTTCCTTAGCATTTAAAGAATTCTACCAGCTGTTATCAGGGCTGCCACTTTGATACGTCTGGGTCATTTCACTCAGTTAAGAATCTTCCCGAACAAAAAAGACTGTTCGACCTTTCCATCAGTGAGCCATAGGCTCAATCACCATTGTATTACCTCATTCGGCGATGGATAGTGACCTAACTGACATATATTTAAACAAAAAGCTTTATCTCAATTGCAGAAGAAACTTAAACCCAAATCCACCTCTGTTGCAGGAGGAGCAGAGTTCGAAGACATTAAGCAATCTGCATTAACAGCTCCAATTTTTGTAGAACATTATTGCTAAACCCATTTGGAAATCCAATCTTTGCTTTGTTTCTGTGTGGATTCATGGACAATGGAATGACCCAGGCGGGTTAGATGGACTTGGAGCAAGAGCCAAGGAGGCCAAGGAGGTCTCGATCGTCGACATGCCAATTAGCAGCTCTTTTCCAGGAAGGAGTGGGCCTGCAGCATCACATAAGAATGTGTCCCCCAGCGCAGTCTTCAATGGCCTTCTTCAGATTCATAGAGGATCTGTAACCACACATGGCATAGCTGAAGAATTATGGTTTGTTTGGACTTTACAGTGAAGTAGGACACATCTTCTGTCCAGCAGTTCAGCTTTTGAAATTTTCATTTCAAAAGCTGAACTGATCTTTTAATATGTGATCACTGAAAGAAGTTGTGTCTTTTAGAATTAAAAACATATATATGAATAAGCTTTGTCCTGGAGTTTGGTTTGGATTGCTTAATTCTCGTTTTCATAGATTTTGTCAAGATGTCTTTATTATTAATAATAATTCCTATTAATTTTAATGACATAATATAGTCTTTCTGGCGCGTCACGTGACTAGGAGCGCGACTATCTGCCCATGTACAGTACGCAGCTACGGAAGCCTTAGGAGTTCACGCAACTAGCGAGCTAGCTTCCTGAAAAATGGCCAGCTGGGGAAGGCTCAACGCCGTCTTGAGGAACGCTTTGAGGAGCCCTCGGTCTCTGAAAAGTTCAGCACTGCGCCGAGCTGTCGGACCCGGTATTCTGGGGTCAGTTATCGGAACTGGGGTTATCTGTTATTACCAGTATCATGCGAACAACAGGACCCTGCCCTTCGCCGTTCATGCTGAGGTTCCAAAAGTGAGTAATACATACACGGTTAATACGAGTTCCTATGGTCGCAGCTGGAGCGCACCCATGTGACAACTGTTCGTTTCACATGTCTGAGGGTTTAAAAGATTGAGTAAAATGCTGATAAAACCAAATAATAGCGACCCACATTATTATTTACAGAAAAGACGTCACCCACCGACACACCGCTATCAGGTCAGCGATGAGTACTCGCATCGTTCGGTAGCTTACAGGCTCATTTGTTGCACCTGCTGTGCCGTTTCAGGAAGCTGCTGCAGCTCCCAGGCCGTCCGCCAGAAAGATCCGTTTCGACCAGTTCGCCTCGGTGGTCTACGAACAGGAGCCCTACATGACCCCGAGAGACTTCCTGTTCTCGGTGATGTTGGAGAATGTTGACCGTAAGGCTGCACTGATGTCCAGTCAGTTTGTATAGTCCCCATCTACTGACAGCTCTAGTCTAGTCTGTCCTACCGAGGAGAAGACAAATGTGACACTAACTTCGACACTGAGGTTTCCTTTTGTTCACCTGCAGATATACAGGGCCAGAGAGCTATTCATACTATTGGCCTATTAGCCCTAAAAGGCTTCATTTTGGAGATACAGAAATTAAACGAAATTATGTTGCACATCATTTCCAGTGATGTGATTCCAGTCAGATATTGAGATTCATTCTTGACATTCAGATGTATAAAACCAAAGTGCATGGGAAAAAAAGGTGTTGTTGTATTCTTCTTAACAACTCTTCCCTCTTTCTTCTCATGTAGGAAAGCTGCAGAAGAGGAATTTAACAGCAAAAGTATGCTTCCACCATCACAATGTGTAAATAAGTTTGTTTCAAACTGCGCGTGTGGAACACAGTCGTCAATTTGTGCTGTTACCTGTTTGTTGTTGGCGTCTTTGCAGGACGTTGAAAGCATGCTGGGGGCTGCCTCTAAAGCTCGGGCCGGTAACGAGCTGTTCAGAATCATCGGCGACAACGGTGAGTCTTTTGTGTGTCGATGGCTAACACGCGTCAATATGTTTGTTGGTTATCGTATTTCCTGAGCATAATTCAGCGTACATTTCTTTGCAGGTTTGATATCCTACACGGAGTACCTGTTCCTGCTGACCATCCTGACCAGTGAGTAGAATCCCTCCCACACACACCTCTCAGTGATGCTGTGCTAAATGGATGCACGTGCACATTCTTCTCTTCTGCAAGAATACTGCCCCCCCCCCTCTGTTGGTTGTCCATGCTTTTGCACACCTGCACATGTCAGCGGAGCAGCAGTTGACCTGATTTGTGTTATAATGCTTTTTTCCAGGCTGTGTCGAGAGAAATGCCACTTTGCCCTACTGACCGAGTGGGTTGATTCGTGTGTGTGGTAAATATACAGCTATAGCTCAGATAACTGATGGTGCATTACTGTTGCAGAGCCGCACACAGGATTTCACATAGCTTTCAAGATGCTAGATATTGACGGCAACGAGCACGTGGACCAAAAGGAATTCCTCAAGGTAAGACCCCACATGTATACATATAGTGTACTTAAGTAATACTGAACACAACACAGATTAATTCATATGAAAGCGCTGTCATCATGGGAGGACACGTTGCACAGAGAGGATTGTGATTCTGTTGTGTGTGTGTGTGTGTGTGTGTGTATTCAAATTTCAAAATATCTGCCACCTTTTTAATGCTGCCTCAAGCACTGATGCCACCACGGTTGTAAGTATGGACCACGGTGCCGCCTGAAGGTGAGGGAGAGCCGCACTGTGAGCCACTTTTTCCACTGGTCGTGTGTTTGCATTTCTTCAGCCTGAGTCAGCGCCTCAGTTTAGTCCATTTATTTAAAGCCACTTGACATTTTTGTGTCTGTTCCAACCAGACTTGTTCTCTTTCCGCTGAGCCCAGATCAGGACCGGCCAGCAGACTGCATGTGGGCACGCTGTGCACCTTGTGTCGTATTCTCATGTTGTGAACAAGCCCAAAGCATTGAGTAAAAGAGGTGCACGGCGTGTCATCTGCTCCAGTGTCTGCTGTGTGTGACGTAGATGTAGGTTATGTCTCTGGATCAGTAAAATACTCTTTGTTCTTCTTCTGAAGCTGAAGAATATCATTGGGAAAAGTAAAATGAGAGTCCCTAAGGACAGCACAGAGGTAGGTTGTTCACGTTCCCTTCAAAGGAAGCTTGATTTGAGTCACTTTTAAGCATCGCTAATGCAGAGTGTTGTCAGTTGTCATAGTAACAATGCATTGTGTCGTTGTACATTCCCTGGATGTTTCCAGAAACCAGCGGAGGAAGTGGAAAGCGCCAACACTACTCTGCAGGCCTACTTCTTCGGCAAGAGAGGAGAAAACAAGTTGCAGTATCGGGAGTTCTGCAGGTGAGGAAATGTCTCACACACACACACACACACACACACCTGCTGCTGTCAGTGATCACAAAGTGTGTACAAGTCTATATTTTAGATGTTAAGGTCAGATCTGTCGCTAGAATCCTGCAAAAATGTGGTGGAATATTCCATCTTTATTTCCAAAGTAGTGAACATACTGCACACTTTTGTAATGAAGAGCATTACGGACACTTAGGACAAATGTCAGAGGACATCTTTTAGAAAGAAACGTTTTTTTAATTTAAGTCAAGATAAATTTGAGCAAAAGTTGGATCTGATGATGAAATCAACGAACATTTTACATTAAACCTTTTGGTTGTAAATAGTTTCAGCAACAATCCTGTCATCACTACTTTTAATTGAATTGACATTTGTATTCCAATATTTTACAATTGCTTTGTCTCAATCATCACCGAGCTTCAGTGCTGAGTTCTGGCCTCTCGACACTTCATTCTGAATGTCCGAGGTTTGGTGTCTGAAATAAGAGCAAACTTTGCGATCTCCACAGAAATGGTAAACTGATGCAGAAAAGAAGTCAATCATTTGCCTTTTATATGAAATTAGAATTTACAGTTAAGTCAATCAAGACAGAAAATAGACTTCACTGTGAAGAATGCCACATATTTCTTACCTAGAGCCTCTTCTGTCACCAACCTCAGCAGGACTGCTGGCTCTCAAAGCGTCATAGTAAATCTTCTCTGCTCCTCAGGTTCATGGAGGACCTGCAGGCTGAAGTTCAGGAGATGGAGTTCCTGCAGTTCTCCAGAGGTATGGACACCATGCGAAGAGAGGACTTCGCCGAGTGGCTGCTCCACTACACCAACGAAGAAGACAACGAAATCTACTGGCAAAACATCAGGAGGAGGATCCCTGCCGGCCAGGTTAACTCTTTAAACGCACGTACCCTCACAAAAATGCTGCGAAAAGGTCATTCAGTGTAGCACACGGGTGAAGTGAAACTTTTGTCTTGCAGAGTATCACATTTGATGAGTTCAAAGCCTTCTGCCTCTTCAGTAACAACCTGGAGGATTTTGCCTTTTCCGTGAAACTGGTGACTGGAGCCAACCGTCCTGTTGGAATGGGTGACTCCTCTCTGTTCATCAGAATGTGGACAGTTTTCTCTGAACGCTCTATGCAGTAGGTGACGGTATTATTTCCTCCCTCTCATCACAGCCCAGTTCAAACGAGCCGTGAGGATTGCCACAGGCCACGATCTGTCCGAGAGCGTGCTGGACACGGTGTTCAAACTGTTCGATATGGACGGAGACAACTGCCTGAGCCACAAGGAGTTCATGGGTGTGATGAAAGACAGAGTGCTGCGAGGTCTGAGGGTGAGTCCGTCCGTTTCTATTTATAGCCGCACCTACGTCTTTCTAAAAGGAATAGTTGGACATTTTGGGAAAAATCGCTCACTCATTTCTGCATGCTAAATATGGACCTACAGTCAGTAGCCAGTTAGCTTAGCATAAAGAAAGGAAACAAGGTCCACCCACCAGCATCTCTAAAGCTCACTAACGAGTCTTCAACTCTATGCACGAAATGTTTAGCATATTTCCTAAAATATATTCTGCTAACAAGTTATTTAACTAAGTAAACAAATCAACTGATTTGTTTTTTCTTATCCCCTTTGGATGTACAGACTGCAATTGATCATTTTTAATTCTGTTATTGCTACATTTTAAGCATGGCAAACAATGTGCAATCGGTAGATATGGTGTAAGTTGCTCCGTGCTGTCCGATGGGATAACCAGCGTCTTGCCCTCAGGTGCAGCATCAGAGCGGCCTGTCTGGCTACTGGAGATGCGTGAAGCGAGAGACCCTGAAAGCAGCCCAGGAGGCCCTTGGGGGGAACACCGGGTGCCCCTTCTGAACCGCCGCGGTGCTCCACGTCAGACTCGACGGTCACTCATAACCACTGCTCACTTTTGTAGCGTATAACCACGTCAGGAAACAAAAGGATTTACACCACTATCTTGTGTAGAAATGATACGTGTACAGATCAACAATCTATTGTCGGATGTTAGCTTTAGAACGGGTTCTAGTTGTTTACAATAAAGGAAATGTATTGTTTGGTGCAGTGAACTGGTCTTAGTACCTAATCAAGTCGTGCATTTTATATTGAGTGCCTCATCGCTTTTAAATGACTTTTGCAGTCGACACACTTCCACTTCAAGCAGTGTCTAGAACATTCAGTTCCTTTTGGTTCAAGGGCTTGGTGCTGATTCAGTGGACAATATGCTTTTAAAGGGTTGATGGGTTTCACATTTGTCAAAATATTTATCAAATAAAGTTTCATGAAAACGCCCGTCGTCTCAACATTGTGCTGCACTTCTGAGAATGAAAGAATCAAGCGGCTGTGACTCATAACTATTTTGTAATTTATTGTAGAATTGACCTGTTCAGGTCACATGAGTATGTGGGTTAACCATTGAAGATCGTGGTGCTAATTATCTTACCATACATACTATTCCAAAAAACAAAGTAAATAGACAAAAAGACAAGCTTACCTCTGTGATAGATGAACAAATTAGTGAGTGACGCCGAGGTCATCAGTGAGTACAGCATACACGGCTACAATACAATAGAATGACATTGAGCATGAAGCCATCTTTGGTCTTCTTATAACTATAAACAAACATAGAAATTTGTATTGTATCAAAAATAGAAATTACATAGCCATATTGAAAGTAAATTCACATTTTTGACATACAATAAGAGGAGAATACCTAAGAGACATATTGTGGGATTACATTATTTTTTTTTCTTTCTCAATCCTTTGCTTTAAGGACCCGATGGTTTTGCCACATTTTGAACATTCATTTGTTTTGTTTTTTAGAAAGAATTGCATGATTCTGTCAATGACGCTGTCCTCCGTCTGCACAGAACACGTCTGACAGAAACGAAGGACAAAATAGATTGTCGTTTCTACAACAAGCATCTTCTTTCTATCCTGGGCTTTGACAACGAGGGGCCCGCTGAGAGGCCTCCGCTGCTCAGGAACAAAGAAGAGGAAGAGATTTGGTTCAGGACTCGACATTCGGTTGTGACGTAAGCAGCCCGGCCTTCGCAGGTGAGCCGAGGCCTCGACAGACGCGTCCCTCTTCTTTAATCAGCGGTGTGTGTGTGTGTGTGTGTGTGTATAGCTGTTCTCCTGGTGTTCAGAGTCATGCTGTTCTCAGAGGCACACATGATGAACTGCAGCCAAAGTGGACCTCTGCTCGAGATAGTAGGGAAGTGCTTTCAAAGTGTTTGATCCACTGTGGGGGGGAAAAAGAGAAATGTGTCAGGATTTGGTAACATTTTAAACAAACAGTAGGGTAACAACGGGGCTCTCTTTCTAACGGAGCGGTGATGTTTGTTAGGCTAGTTTTAGCTGCTAGGGTAGCCTTACCTCTGGACATACAATGTAGTCGTGGCGCAACTCAGGCTTTTATCAAAACACGAGAACAACCGCACGAGCAGTCATGATTGTAGAAGGGATCTATTTATTTGGGAGTGGAGAGAACGTGGTCTATA